TGCCGGTCGCGAATGTGTTAACTGATCGAACTAATAATGTGTACAGAACACTGAAGAAAGTTGCCGTGTAAATTTACACCCTAGATCATTGGTTGTTTCGATGCCACTATTAATAACGTAACATTGTCTGGGTAATATCACATCCAGCATCTAAATATATATCGATATATATATGGACGTTCTGACATATATAAATGGCGTTTTTAATTTTTCTTTTTTTTATTTGTTCACACTTAGTTTTAAGTTCTATTTTTTTAGATGAAATAAGAAAACTGTGGATTTTCGTAAACGCATGATTTGAAATGATAATATCATTTTTAGAATAGGCGTACTTGTATTATGTGGAACAAAATGTACAATTTGGCAATAATATCTGATTTGAGTATTTAATAAAATGAAAGTACTAAAATATTTTGTAATTCAAGAAAGAAACAAAAATGTATTTGGTTCTTTCCTATAGCGAATACGTAATTCGGGGAATAAACCCACGTGATACGAAAATGCGAGAAGTGAGCGCGCTCGTCAAAGATACGTAATTAACGCCCAGTTAGTACGTAGGTCAGTGATCTGAAGTTTCGGTAGAGGTGGTAACTCGAGGCTGAAAGGAGTGTCTCTCGGTCTAATAATTATTAAGTACTCCTCGAACTCGTGGAAAAAGCTTCGAGGGTGTCCCTCTGCTTCTCGATCCTGCCGTATGGCACTAAGACCTCGAAAGGTCTCCCTCGGTTCCTCGGTGCCCGATAAATTAACGTGTTTTATCGCGGCTTCTTCGGTCCACCGGCCTGGTAGCTTCTCCTCGTCAAAGGAGCCGCTGCATCGCGGTTAATGTGCGATCCTACAATGCGAAACTACACCTTCTTGTCGTGTAGCCGGCAATGGGACTCCATCCCGTGAATTTGTCGACGAGTATCCCTCCTTACGTTCCCCTGGCCGGCGCTTTTTCTCGGGACCTGTTCCAGGCGCGCGCCATTAGGGTGGCGGGGAAAAAGCATTTATTTTCATTAACCATCGCGACGACGACCTCGCGGTCGTCTTTTCCCTACGTTTTTTTCCCGGGTTAACCGGCCCAATTCCCTAGATTCAAATTGAAAGGAATCTCCCAGCCCCTCTTGACTGAGATTTTCGGGACGCCATTACACAAGAAGCGTTTATTTCTACTAATTAATTACTGACGGATAAACCGAGTAAATGTACTGCAAAATTACTACCTCCAATCATAACCATGGAGAATTACCGGATTTAGAAAAAGAATGGGCAGAGTACAAGTTTCGCCAATTTTCTGGACTCGGGAAAGTCTATGGTGAGGGAAATGCGATATCTGAGAAGTCAATTATATATGATACTTTTCTGCGAATTGGGGGCAATTAATCGTTTTGACGTTTTACTACGCGAATGTGGAGGCCCGAAGGTCTTAATACCTATGAAATTTAATTTCTTATCAAGAAATTCACCTTCTTTAGGGTCTTAGGGACCTTCTTTAGGGTCTCCGTGATTACGTGGGAAAATTTAAAACGATTCTGTACGCTGATTTCGGAAAAGGATTTCACAACGAGACGTCAGATGCTACTTTTTTATCGCCTTAATCCTTTGAACACGGAGCCATTTCGACATATGAGTGAAATTCGTCTCACCGTGCTGGCAATATTGGACCAAACGTCGGGCGCCTTTAGGCACTCTTAGTAGCCAAAGGGTTAAGGTCCTGGAGGTATATCGACGCGCGAGGATCATTTAATTTAATTTTTTATCAATAAACTTAACTATGAAATTAATATTCATGGGTAAGGGACTTTCTTTAGGGTCTCTACGATGGCGTGGTAAAATTTAAAACGATTCTGTACTCTCGAGTCGGAGAAAAGCTTCGTAACGAGGCGTCAGACGGCACTTTTTTACCGCCTTAAAGTCCTGGAGGCATATCGACGCGCGGGGGATCGATCGCCGATTTCCGCGGCGCGGACAAAGTCGCGCCGATACGGCAGCTGCACCTGCGGAGACAAATCGCCGATCCGTCGATAAGCCCTGCACCTGACACTTCGGCGCCCTCCTAAGCGGCGCTGCGAAGAGTCAAAGGCGCGGCGCCGCGATGAAGTCGGGGCCCGATGAATAAACATGACGAACGGAAGTCGTTATACCTTCTGCCTCGGCGTCCTTGCGACCACCGGTGCCGAGATTCTACGAGGAAACCACCGGCGGTGTCGCAGGTGACACTTTTTTTCCCCCACCTTCTTGCACCTGACCCCTTCCCGCGAGAATAATCTCGACACCTGGTTAACTCCTGCGAGAGAACTTTCCCACGGGAAGATTTCCACTCCCTCTCTCTTTCCTGCTTACGATTTTGCAATTTACGCCGTTGAGCGACCATCCTTGAACAAGTAAAGATACCTTGTCTAAAATTTCCCGCAATTTAGAGTGGTGGGTTCAAGACTAAACCGAAAATTGCGACGGGTTTTCCTTTTTTTATTTTCTTTCGTTTTCAGCGTTTCTGCATCTCCCCTCGTTACACATTCGCGCTAAAGCTACTTGAATCTTCAAATTTGGGTTTCCGGATGGGAAGAGCTGCTCTCACCGTCCTCAGCCTCGGTTAGAACCATGATAAGTCCGAAATTTTCAGGAAAATTTGCATTTTCCACAGTCTACCGACCATTCAAATGTTTCTAAAATGCAGTGGGCACAGTTGCGCGGAATTCCGAGCCTTCGTTCGGCAGTGAGACCGAAAACCGCGATGGAGGTCTTCCAGGTCTTGTGTAATTTCTCACTTAGAAGGAAGGTATCCCAGGTCGATCTCTCCGATTTGATTTCTTTTATAATATATTATAGTAGACTAAAAATTAAGCGACACGTATTTTTTTTTCTGCCATTGAACACTTTAAGGGGGCGAAACCACCATCCACAGTAAGGACTATGAGGGGCGGCTCACCCCCGCATTTCTTTTTTTTTTCAATTGAGAAACTTATATTTTTCATTTCTCGTTATGAGAAAGCTTTTCCAGGTGGATTGGTTAAAAAAATATTATGTTCTTGTGGGTGAAACTGCCAAATCGCCCCTTGACATGCCTTACATTGGATCGTGGTTTCACCCCCTTAAAGTATTTAATGGCAGATGAAAAAAAATACGTGTCGCTTAGTTTTTAGTCTACTATGACATATAAAAGAAATCAAATCGGAGAGATCGACCTAGGATACCTTCCTTGTTAGGCGACTAGGAACCTCCGAATTTCTATTTTGAAAGGGGATTTTTAATAGGGGCGCACAAGCGGGCACGGGCCCCAAAAGCCGTCGGTAAACGATACTTTACTCGCATTGGGGGCCCCTCGACAGACTACTCCTGGTGAGCTTCTCTTCGGAGAAGGCGACGTCGTTCGCCCTCGGTCGCCCGAGAAATACCTCGGGGTGGTTCTCTGCACGGATTCGGTGATCCGAGGCTTTGCGATTTCACGGTGGGAAATAGATGTCACGTTCGGTACGGGGATTAAGGTTTCCGGCGGTGATACTTGGAGGGACTCTTTATCGTGCTCGCCGGGTAATGACACTATCGCATTGCACTACTTACTCATTTATTACCGTACAATTTCGTCGGAATAACAAAGTCTTACCCCCACGGCATCGAATCGGCGCACCTGAGTCTTCGCCTAGAAATAGAGATACCCCTAATAATCACAATTTAATATAAAATCAGGGTAATTGAACAGGGGATCAGAAATGGTACTTAAAGGAACTGTTTTATTGTACGTCTTACCATGATACAATTGTGCCGCCCTTTTCTACAGGATTTCATTTCTTTCCCACCTTTTCCTCGAATTTCCACCCCCCTGCGGCTCTAGTAATACTGCGGTGGAGGTGCGCACGGATACTTCCGTGCGCCTCGTTACCTCGGAATTAAATATCAATTAAATAGGCTTCGTTAGAAATAAATTACACGCTTATGTCTAGGGCGTTTAAGGTTAGGTTAGGTCAGTCCCGCGCGCACTTTCGGCCCGTTCCGCGCCCTGCGGTCGATAGTTCACCGATCCGCTGATGGTATCGACATGTTCTTCATGGACATAAGATGTATGGCATTATTTTAATATTCTGAGAGAGAGCGAACAGAGGGGCAATGTTTTCTCCCTCCGGATTTCCACGCGTAACAATTTTATTCAAAGAGAAAAAAGAAAAGAGCAAAAAACAGTTCTTTTTCTTCTCCCATTGAATTTTACTCTCTTCACGGTCGGATCAGTATGCGAGGTCCATACGTCTTACGTTCATGGTGTTCCCTTCGATTTCTATCGATATTTCCCCTCCACTTCCACTCTCCCGGCGAGAAATCCGCCGCGAAGAGAGAGCCGGGATTTAACGAGCGGAAAACGCGGGGTCGCGGCTCCGTTTCCGCTCGTTAATTCGCACTTTTTGCCATACCGGAGGGGGGGAACGGGGGATTGCAATTATACGAACGGTGCCAAATGGCTGTCACCGTGACAGCGATTGGCAGCCACTGTCACCCTCGGGGACTGTTTCTACTTTTTCTTCCGCGTCGCCATTTTGCTCGCTAAACCTCCCAGTCTCTACATTTACCTTCTCCGCGAGCGATGTTTTTCGCTCGCTTTCCGCGTCCCCGCGTCTCTGGAAGGTCTCGGTAAAAGTCTCTTTCCAATTTTCCCAACGCCCGCCGTTCGTTAAACGCGAGATGCACTTTCAGTGCACTTAGAGTGTCCTTTTGCTCGGCCGCACTTCCGTGCTCCCCACTTCTGCGTAATACTCTACTCGGGAAATATCTACTTCGGCCCTTTGGTAAGAAGTTTGGTGTTCACGGGTCGTTCCGCAACCTGGAATCCTCCTGCACCTGGGGTTCACCTCTTCAGGGTTGCGGGAATTCATCCTCTCGTTAATACTTATCTTCACCGGGATTGGTGCCCTGAGGGCTGCGAAACGAGGTTCGAAAGCGTTGGCCAAATTGGAGGCCCTCGACGTAGGTCGCTTCGGCTTCGACCCTCGCCCCAGGTCGACCCTGGGGGGTTAACCTTGGGGTCCTCACTTGCAGACCGTGATCCACTCTTCGACGGTGCAGTTTTGGCACTGGACGAAGCAGCACCAGTGGAACTTGCACCTGCACCTCTCCGTCCGTCTCTGTCTGACGACGTTGTACCCCCTGCCGCAACATAACGCGGCGCACCCGTCGCCGCCCCCGCTGGTCCTGTTGCACCTGCGACCTGCTGTACCGGGGATGTCAGCTGCAGGGTCTCTTTCGCAGAAATTCGGGGATTTCTGATAGTAGAAGAGCTGCTTGGCCAGGTCTCTCGGTCGCCTTCGACGTCCTCCGCGATGCTTGCGCTGTCTCTGCCTATCCGGACGTCGTCTTCTGGACCCCCTAACCCTTGTCAAGGGGGTGACGCTCCCCAGGTTGCTCTGGGCGACCAACACAGCGTTCTTGAATCGATCCTTCAGCGTCTTTCCCACTATCCGGAAGTCTGGGGTCACTTTCCAGCAAGTCTTCAGCTCGCAGCTGCCCGACATCCCGTGGCACTTGCAGCGGACTTGCATGTTGCTGGCGACAGCCTGAAATTAATAGTCAACGACATTTGCACGATTGACGAAATCCTGCGGGGCCAGTATCGGATTTAATAGAGAATTATCAGATGTTATTAATTATTAGTGATTATTCCTTCACGGCATGCCTCCCGACATGCCGTGGCACTTGCAGCGGACTTGCATGTTGCTGGCGACAGCCTGAAATTAATAGTCAACGGGTTAATTGTGTATGTCGACATTTGCACGATTGACGAAATCCTGCGGGGCCAGTATCGGATTTAATAGAGAATTATCAGATGTTATTAATTATTAGTGATTATTCCTTCTCGACATGCCTCCTGACATGCCGTGGTACTTGCAATGGATTTGCATGTTGCTAGCGACCGCTTGAAATTAATAATCAACGAGTGAATTGTGTATGTTGACATTTGCACGATTAAAAAAATCCTTCGTCGCCAGCATCGAATATAATACAGAATCATCAGATGTTATTAATTATTATTGATTATTCTTTCACAATATGCCCCCACGCGTCCGGCGCGTGTATTCGGGATTCTTATTTTTTATTCATCTGCATAATTTTGACATTACTTTGAGTGTCAAACGTTAACCATCGGAATGACGCACTAACGTTTCAGTAGATTCTCGATACCATACACAAAATCGAAAAATTAAATTTTCGTAAATTAAGTCACCTAAAAAACTCGAAAATAAATAAAAACAGTAATTAACCGGAAAATGAAAAAACCAGGTTTCCAGGTTCATACGTGCGAAGTTGTACATTTCACAAAGAGTTTCATTTAAGAAAAGAGAAAACGGAAAAGAATTATGAAAATCGACTGACAACTGAATAACCAGTAAAATGTGTTATCGCCAGATTGTGCAGTGCAAGAGTCATTGATAACACCTGAGCGGTGGCGTAGGTACACCGAGAAAGAAATGTCACCGGCCAGAGAAATATTACTTTAATTCAAATAATAATTACTTGACTCAAACTAGGCTGGCCGAATGCGATATTACTTCAGTAACATTTCAATCTATCAGAGTTCATTTGAGCCAAATAATAATTCCTCGAACTAACCGAATACTTCCTCGGTTAGATTAAAATTAATAATCAATTTCCCTCCGGGTGCAGCACCGTTCAAAGAAATATCCACGACTCGAAGGTACCATTTCTTCGGTCCAGTGCATTTCCTTTCTTTCTCAGGGTGCAACAAACAGCACCTGCAGGATTCCCAGAGGTGCCGAGGGAACCCGGGGACCTGGAGGACGGAAGAGAAGCCCCGTCCTCGAGAGTCGCCGGCCATTTATCGTGCCGTCGTCCTGCCAGGACGTGGGGTCCGGCGTCCTGATCCACCGAGGGGGTCCAGGCAGGTAATTAGGAGTGGAGCCTATCCGGTCCCGTGGGAGAGCTCGCGGGGAACCCCGGCGGAAGGAGGCCGCGGCGCGTCCAATCGCGGATAGGGAAACGAGGGGCCGGGGGTAGGAAGGAGCCGAAGACCGGGAAAAAAGGGCGAATCTAAGCTGGCCCGCAAACAGGAACGCTCGGGAGGCGCGGGAAGGTGGCCGGGAGTTTCTTTTAGACAAAGAGGTGTCGCGTACAAAACAGTTAATGAGTCTACGGCTGGGTGGTCCAGCCCGGGGCTCCGTCTTAATAACGTCGAGGCGAGAGGGAGCGTGGAGATGCACGGAGGAGGACCCGCTCGTCTCCCCTTTCCTCCCCTTTCCTCCCTTGCCCCTCCTCATCGGGCGGGAGCAGGGGAGTACCGGCTAAAAAGCTGAGATGGGGGAACGGGGGAGGTGAAGCGGACCTCGCGAAGGAGGAATGGAGGAGTTAGCCGAGGATTACTTTCGACTAGCGCGCATGCGCTCGATTATTCGCGTGTGGGACTGTAAACGGAAATAGGGGAAAAAAGAGATCGCACTTTTAGAAAAGGGGAGAATTTCTGATAATCTGGTGGGTGGGAATTATTGCACTAATGGCATTGAACACTTGCAGTTGCGACGGATAGAGATAAGAGGAATGGAGGAGTTAGCCGAGGATTACTTTCGACTAGCGCGTATGCGCCCGATTATTCGCACACGGGACTGTAAACGGAAATAGGGGAAAAAAGAGATCGCACTTTTAGGAAAGGGGAGCATTTCTGATAATCTGGTGGGTGGGAATTATTGCACTAATGGCATTGAACGCTTGCAGTTGTGTAGGATTGAAATGTATCCATGAGGAAGCTTCCTTTAGGGAAAGTACTTGGTATGCTCTTTAAACCCTTGTATTAATGTATTTAGCGCGAAACTCTACCGAGTTTCTTAATAACTGAATTTGGACATGAATTTCTAGCAAGAGGGAAAGAAACTGTCGATATTCGGTCGAGTGATGTACAGTTTGCTGTACTGATTCAGGGAAACAATAGGTTTTTGGGGCTAAAACAATAAGAACCACGGCGGAGGGAAATTTGCTTCCACTGATAGAAATGAAAATCTGCATGCTTAATTGTTGGTTATTATGAACTACGGTAAAATGACCCTTCCATCACATCACATTCGACATAAAAATTGAATGAAAGCAAATGACGGTGTAGCCATTACATTCGACTGAAGTAATAAAGGCCCCAATGTAAATATGCATTCTTTAATTTGTTGCATTTTCCATTTTACGTTTTCTTACGTGAAACCACGTACGAGGGGTGCAACAACGTATGTACATTTTTCCTGGATTCTTATCAGTGCTCCTCAGTGCACTCTATCAGTGCTCTTCTCAGGTAATAATCTCTGGGATTCTCAGCTGGACCCGGAGGACCTGGAGGACTAACTCACCAGCCGTCCTGCTTGGTTGTTGTGCAGGTTGACCGTCGACTGGATGTCCCCGGCCTTTTCTCGGCTGTCCAGGAACTCCTTGGAGAACTCCATCCCGTACTCCAGGTTATGCGAGCACCCGCCCCACTTCCACTGGGTCCCGCGGGCTTTGGCAGGAGTCCTGCCCTTGTAGCTGGAGGGGTCGCATCCGCAGGACAGAAGTCGACCCATGCTGCACGCCCTGGCCACGCTGTGAGCGACCCCGGCGGCCGAGATCGCGTAGGCGAATGCCGTCTCCCTGTAACCTGAGGAGAAGGCGCGCAGCCTCGTCAGATTGGTCCAGGGATGCGTAGGTGGGCTGGGCCCTATCCGGAAAGAGCGGACGCGCCGGGTCGGCTGACCCAACGAGGAAACGCCCGCAAGGATTCCGCGTGGGAGGGTGACCCTCCAGGAGAACAAGGATGTCAGGTTGAAGGATGATCGAGGATCGAGGGATCTCTTATCTTTCCCGACTTTTTGCAAATGGGAACGTATATTGAACGGATTTTGCGAAGGACGTTATGAATCTAGGATAATTTCTCAGGGAACAAGAAATAGCCAGAGATACGTAGATTTTGCATCGGGAATCTTAAACCTAAAGAGAAAATCCTAAACCTAAGGAGTTTTGCAGGCTAGAACACCGCGTTGAAGGGTGACCCTCCTGGAGAACGAGGATCGAGGGACCTCTTATTTTTTAGGAAAGGCGCGACTTCTTGCGAATCGGAACGTGGTGGTTCAACATGTACTATATATGATTATGAAACTAATATGGCTGATGAACCTGGGATAAGTGTTAAAAGAACAAGAAGTAAAATACGAAATTAGCGTCTGCATCGGGAACCCCGACTCTAGAAATCAAGTTCTTTCTAGATGAAAACGCTTTCATCGTGGAAGACCGGAAGAAGTTCAGACTAAACCTCCACCCGATCTTCCGCATCCCGGTGGGACCGGCGAAGAACTCTCCCAGGATATTTAATGGACATTGCCAACGGCTTGCGGACAACTCGTTACTGCCGTCTGTCCGGTGCACAATGCTCAATCAAGGCGCGCCATTGCGGGCGCAAATGACGCGTCCGACAATTACTGCGGTGAATCTTCCGGCCATCTCCGATCTCGTCGGGTTTTCTGACCGCTGGGCGTCCTAATGACCGTCACGGGTATTATCAGGCAGAGATTAGAGCGAAAAGTCTGCACGCCCTCGGTTGGCGTCTCGTCGAATGTCGCGGCGTCCAAGGGAGCCGCTGAGTGCCGGCATCGAAGTCTCCGCCGCGACATAAAGTGTCGGCGCTTCCTTACCGCTCGCGGAAAGGACGCGCGGTGTGGACGCGCCGACGTTGTCAAAGGACACCCCCTCGACGTGGCGCGGTACACGAGTGGCGAGGAAATCGCGCGTTTAACAGCGGGAAGTCGGGGCCAGGTCTCCGTAGAAGGGCCCCCGCGGGCCCCGATGCATTCTGATGCCCCGGGATGCCCCGCGAAGGATTATTCAAGCGTCCGTCAAAACAAAAGCACGGCCATCAGCAGCGGCGTCCACCGGCCGCATGTATAAGCGATCTCGCAGTGGGGATCCCGAAGACGCAGTGCCAAAGTCCGAGGGGGGCGACCTCGGGCCCCGATCGCGGACGCGCCATGGGCCCGAAACGTACTTTGTAAACGAAGCGACGTCAAATAGAGTTTTTCTGCCGCCGACTTCTGGAGGACCCGCAATTGACTGCCGATCAGGCCGCGGTGGTGGCTGTCGATTTACAAGGCACGGAACACGCTGGGCCCGATGGGCCTCATCCCGCGGTGGGACTTACACTGCTCGAGGGGGGTCCGTCGGCTAATTCGGAGGCTCGATTCACCTCGATACGGCCGTTGCAGTATTTATGAGGCCGCGGAGCATTATGCGCGATTACGCGGGAAACGCGCGGCTTCGCCGGATATGGGCCCGTCCCCTCGCGGGGCCCGCTCGGAAAAAGTGGCGCCGCGGCCGAGGGGATTGTTTTCGACGATTTGGACACTTTCCGGGAGCCGATTACGCGGACGATGTGTTTAGCTTGCATTAATGCATCTTTGGGCCCGAATGGGCCTTGTGGGAATGGGCATTATCTGGGCCTGAGACTGGAGGAAGGTCGTAAACGCTTCGATACCTCGGAACGGGAATGCCTGCTTAACGATCTGATATCTCGCGAGACATAACGTTGATTTACCCATAAGCTAGTACTCGAGGGGCCTAAGGCCCATTCAGCAATATTCATAAAACGCGTAACGTATGCTCCGTGGGCCCCCGTAACAGCTCCCACTTGTGCCGAGAGTCCACGGGGCTTTGCGTCGATTAATTAATACCCAAATTGTTGTATTACGTCCAGCCGGCACCGATCAGGCCCAATTCTAGGTGGCTTGCATGGTTAGTCTGCAAGGCCCAAATTGGCATACCGTCTTTTGGTCCCGAGAAGATAGCTCGTATTGCGATTTGCTAGTTGACCGACGAGGTCGTCATTTTTATCGTTGGGCCCAAGAGGGGCCTCACGAGTTCCGTTCCGCGATCTGAAAAGTGCCCCCGGAGGCGCTTCTTTGCAAGGCTCGCCTTTTAAGGCCCTCCAAGTCAGAGATCTTGTTCCCCCGGGAGGAAGAAATTCACCGAGGTGTTTGGGCCCATGACGATCTTAAATATGGAAGCGTCGATGTCCATTCTTTAGGTGGAACGATACGGGGCGGCACTCGGGGGTCCATTCAGGCCCATCGAGCAAGGTACAAATAGACTCGGCAGATCGGCACTCCATTGCGGTCCCCGCCGGCAGGAGTACGGGCGAAGGCGAGCTCGATGGCTATCGACGTAAGACCCAATGGGCCCGATCGATCCTGCCGAGGGCAGCGAGTCGACTGGAAGGTGGTGACGTTTCCACCGATCGCGAGGAGATAACTCGTGTCGCGGTCGGTCGATCGACCGCGGCGAGGTTATCATCTTTTTCCCCGGCGGGGCCCGAGCGGGGCCAGGGGCCCCGAGTTGGCGACTCGGAGGGCCCTCGGTAGCCGTTCTTTATAAGGACTCGTCGCGGGGAGGTGACGGGGACTGCTTCCTCTATATACGGCTATTGGCAGCAACTGTTTTATAATGCAGATAGCTACCAGGGCCCAAGTGGACAGACGAGGGACGAGGGGACTCGTAATAAATCCTCCCGCAGGAGTTGTACGTCTCCGGGCCTCTTCTCCTGGACGTTTACCGGGACCGAGGTGGACAGGAGGTGGTTAAGGGGGTGGAGGCGGAGGACAGTCCTTCTCTCTCTAGCCTCCGCCAGGCTCGATAGGGCCCAACCGAGGTAGGACCGTACTACCGGTCGAACCAGGCCCTGTCGAATCCCCGGCTCCAGGACGTGTGTCCGAGATGTCCGCGGACGAGTCCGGCAGCGCGATTTACGTCCTTCTTGCCGCCCTAAGGTGGGCCTGAGGAGGGCCCGAGGTGGGCCCCGAGGTGGGCCTCGGGTTCGACGGTTTTGCTCGAGATCCCTCGACGGCCGAATGGTCGACCCGTGTTGGACGCCACTCCAAGGAATTTCGAGTTTCTCCGTTCGATCGGGCCCAGAAAGCCCAGGATCTAGTCAGGAATGGGCCCTTTTTTCGGCGGTCTGAGAATCGGAGCGCGAGGCGTCCCGGATTGGTCCAACGTCAGTTCGTATCTCTCGTTCTAAAAAATTTCACCGAAGTGAATACCGCTGAGCCCAAAACGCTTCCATCTTAAGGCGGGGCCTTAATATGCAGTAGTTTATGAAACGCGTCGGTTACGTCGTTCTTGGACGTTAGCGAGCGGAGGCGGAGGGCCTTACCGTCTTCCTTTCTCGTAAAGCGCGATGATATTATTCACTCAGAGGACAGTCGATGGAAGTTTGAGTTTTCTCGCGACGTGTGTGGGCCCGACGCGAAAGGGCCCGCTATTTTCGTAATATATTAAGCCGTTTACCGGCCGAGTCTCGCGGCCGAGTTACGACGACGTGGAAGTCCGCCCGTGGCCGAAATACGCAGTGAGAAGAAGAAAGGCCCCGAGTGAGAGCAAAGAGGGACTTAACGACACGCAGCACCTCGGCAGGCCCCGAGATATGGACCCCGACGAATTTGACACGGTGGATTTGTGAGCCCACAGCCAGTATCTCTTTCGGTGCTCTCGGTCGTGCCCACCAGCGAGGAAGATTTAAAGGTTGCCTCGCCGGGAAAGGAGAATGGGCCCCTCTCTTCTCGGAAGCTACTGCCTTTTAAACGGGCCCAATAACGACTCCGATAATCGGCAAATCGGGCCCCCGGCGCCGACTCGTGCACCTTCGCAAATCTGCGAAACGCCGGGACGAGTCCCGTTTCCTCAAAACCCATGGGCAGGTGAGGCCCCGCGAGTGGGCCCGATCCCGGCCCGCGTCGCGGGCCTCATCCTTCGGACCTTCGAAGAACCCTCCCATACCTTCGGTCATACGTCTCTAATCCTACTTTAAACTTCCCTTTAACGCACAAAATCCATCCGAGACGACATACATCCTGAAACGGGCCCAAAATCGCCCACAAAAATGGGCCTCAGTTGGTACCGCGGCTCGATGCATCAAATCCATGGATCTAGGACGAAACCAATCCTGGTAAAGGGCATGAACATTGCAAATGACAGTGATCGTGCACATCGAATAGTTCCCCTAGATCCATTTAAAACCATCGAGATCGTCGTCAACGAAAGATGGCTGCCACTCGTTTTCATCTTTAACATTTGGAGCTTCTGCAAGATCTTTCCATATCTTTTTCCTAAATCCTAAAACCGCGGTTGTGGTGGCGCCGTTTTGCGGCGTCTATGCGAACTATGTGCATCCCCGCTTCGACAATAGCTCGAGCGATGGCGCTGTCGTCGATTGGTCCTCCCGACGCGACGCTGACGGTGTTCTTTGCGCGGTTAGCGACGCTTCGAAACCTCCTGGTAGACGTCATCTCGACACCTCGCGAGTTGGGATGGAACGACACGGAGATAAAGATGGTCCGGCGAAGATAAAGCGGGGCCTTAAGGTTTCAAGTCAGGTGCGAGAAACGTCGAGGCTCGCTCGCTGGTTCTCGCTCCTCCCGATCCCGAAGTGGTCGGCCTGGACGATAAATGTTTCCTCCGCGGTCGCACGTACGTGCAGGACGAATTTATACGTCACGGCACTCTTGTTATGGAACTGGGTCAGGTTTTCGAGCGGGTCTGGTTTTTGATTTAAGGTTTACGCTTAGAGTCGACTTCGTGACGCCTCGCTCCTCTTCCAGGTCCCCCTTCCTCTGAAGGAAGACCATCCTCGAAGACCATCATCGACGGTGCGTCCAGAAAGAAGAGGAACCGACGAGAAGTCAATTTGAAGCATACGAAGAAAAGGATGGAGGTTATCGCTGTGTTACTAAAGATGAATACATAACAGGAAGAAACGGATGGCGGCCATCTTTCTCACCTGGTATAGACGGCTATGAGAACAGTTAGAAGTTTGTGATAACTGTTACTGATCGCGATTATTATGCTCTTAAAAACAACGCCCGACACAATTTTATTATCTTGGTGTCTTAACATCTTTTGGCTTAGTTTACACCGACTACTTGGTTAGCGTACTAAAGAAGTCGATTCGTTAAGCTGTCGGCGTAAACGATCGTGTATCGTCTTGGTACGGTACCTTCGGAAAGTGCATATCGTAAACTGAGAAAAGAAAATTGCTTGACTCAAAGAAATATACATTGCTATAACAACATCCTGCGATAAAATATGCGCAAAGTAATGTTAGATAGAGTGAAGGAAATTAATTTAAATCAACGATATAAGTTTCCTTCTCAACGAAATAATTGTTTCGTGCAATTATATGTTATTCAGGCAATAATATATATATTTGTTTCGGTCAACTGATATTTTTTTCTCAGTGAACCGTCTTGGGACACTGTTGTGTATCAAGAGACGCGGGAGAGTCTCAAACAAGTTTATTGGCATTACCCTGACAATTTGTTAAAACTGAGTCTTTAATAATAAGTGACCGGTGTAAATTTAGCCTTTACGTTTCATCGGTTTCTTTATGGGTCCGTATCGCGGCCGCCATTTTGGAGAGAAGAGAGAAGATGGTTGGAAGGAAGAACTTTTGAAGAGGAACTCTCACCACGCTGAAGAAGGACGCTGCTCTGCTGGTTCCTGCTGCTCGGCGTCAGAGAGGAGCAGTTCCACCTGTGCCAGGTGAACTGATGTTGGCATTCCGAAATGGCCATTTGCAGGCCTTTCAAGGCTGCCACTGTCACGTCGGGGCTCCTGTGGCATAGTTCCCTCTGCTCCTTGGTCAGTCCAGGAATCCCATTGCAGACGACGGCGCTGCCGCTCACCCAGTCGTCCACTGAATTACTCATCAAGCCTGTTGCCCTGTAATCAAAAAGACTTCTTTACCCTCCCATCGTTTTCGCATTTGTCATTTGCACCCTGGACCGCCTACCCCCGTTGATCCCGACCCACGGGGCCGGCGTGGGCCGATAAACCTAACCTCAAATAGCCCGACCACATCTCGAGAAACTTATACTCGTCGAGCTTCGTCCGTCACCGAGTGATTAAAAAGGATGTCCTTCCTGGGACTTTTTCCTAAGGACTCCTGGACCCGGGAAGGACACTCCGAGGAATTCCCCGGGGCTTTCGTGGGGAATATACCGCGAATTCCCGAATCGACGGACCTTCCCACGGGTGCTCGAAAGGGTTCGATCGGTTTGAGTGATTTTAGCTCTCGGGAAGCCTCGGGAATTCGGCTCGGACTCGCAGGAGAGCCGGTAGGAATTCCGCAGTGCGGATGGTATGCGATGATCCTCTCTCTCGGATCCGCCATTTATCGGATACCCGATCGCGAACAAGCCGAGCCGGGGACTCTCGGTGCTTCTGGATCCATCTTCGATTAAATGAATGTCCTCGAGGGCCTTGTGCGCCCTCGAAGGTCGATCCTCGACCTCGGATCCGGAGTGCAAGAAGAGGATTCCCCGGACTCGCCCAAACCACTTCTACCGCCACCTCGACCGAAAGTTCAGCGCTCCTACCTATCCTTATGGAAACACGAGAAGTTGCGAAATCCTTTTGATTTGCGGAATGTCTCTGGATATTAATTCTTTTTAAGAATGGCCTTTTACGGCTCCCGAAAAAATTGAGCCCTAGGTGGGCTTCAAGTACAAATCCATCTGCCTTCCCTCAGGGTTACTTTATGAGGCATAAAATCGACATTCTCCACCTTGATCAAAGGTTTATCATTCCTTAAAAAAAAAAAGGGAAATTGTGAAATCCACCGATTAATTTTTGAAAAATCTCTGGATATTAATACTTTTTAAGAATGGCTTTTTATGGCTCCTGAAAAATCGAGCCCAAGGACAGCTTTTTGCAAGTACGGACACATCTGCCTCTCCATAGGGTTACTTTACGAGGTGTAAGGTCGATAGTCTTCAAATCTATCCAAGGGTCCGTGTTTCTATTCATCTTTCTCTAAACTTGAGAAATTGTGAAATCCATTTTTGGATTATTGAAACATCTCTGGATATTAATAATACTTCTTGAAAATTGCTTGTCGTGGCTCCCGATGGAAGCTAGCCCTAGGTGGACGTTCCTATAAGCACGGGTGCGTCTGCTTTCCCTCGGGGTTACTTTACGAGGCATAAGGTCGAGAGGTGCGAATGCTCAAAGAGCTGATAATAGCTCTGATAGCAGCCCTGATACCGACGTCTTTAGGCACTGGCTCTTAGGGCGGTATCTTAAGCGGCGGTTGCCTGCACTCGCCTAATGGCCGCCCATTGCGTTATCCCGACTAATTAATTTAGGAAAACCGCGGCCAGGGACCCTTCAGCGGGATAACAGGGAACATCGCGCGAAAATTAACAAGATTATCACAATTATCCACCCCCGGAATACAGAGGACGGATAATCGAGATTTTACGCTTTGCGGTGGCCCAACAAGGCTGAGCGCAGCGTCGCTCGGGCGGCCATCTTGAATAAGGAAACTCACTTCGGTTTTTCATCTCTACGGGACTAAACGAGCAACCAAGTGTCTCCTTGGGCCCAAAAATAGCCCGAAAACCATTTCCGTTATCTCTTCTCCCCTTTTTTCAGGGAATCGGTGCATCTTCGCGGTGACTTCTCTAACCTTTTCAGGCCTGGGCCTTCTTCACAACGCGCCGCGGAGTTTGGGCCTTCTAGGGGTGTCGCCGGCTATCCGGGGTACAAATTACCGTGGAACTCGTTCGAAATGAGGCTTGCAGGGAGGAGAAAAAGAGGAAACGGTCGCGGAATCGCAGGGAGAAAGAGTGAGAACGAGTGGCTGGGCCCGCAAGTGTGGGAATGGGCCCGAACGCGGAGGCGCTTCATCGGGCCCAGCCGGGAAGATTATTGAGGGCTCCCATTACCGGTACAACGTGGCCTGGCTATCTTTTGCACTATTGATGATCTACCCTCGGCAGATTAATGATCTCACCGCGAGGAACAAATTGCCGTGGACGCACCTTGTCGCAGGCCCCGACACCTGCACCCGTGTGTGCGCTTTGCTTCTTCGGCAAGACCCACAGTGGGCCCAGAAAATTAACGGGTACTCCGATAAGACTTTTTTAAGAAACACTTCATTCATATTTTTCATGTTTTTTGTCTAAATAAAATAATATTAAATGTTGGACGCGCTAGTTTCAGGAAGTGGGCATTTATCCCTCGATAATGGTGGTCCCATTTCTTGAGCGATTTGGGTTAACCTCTTTTGTAATAATCTTCCTTTATATTTTTTCATTCTTTACCAGCATGAGGAGATTTTATAAGCGGCAAGTCAGACGTGTCATATTTTTCATGTCTTTCCGTAAAAATAAAATAAAATAAAATTATGGACGCGCTAGGTTCAGGAAGTGAACATACATCCCTCAAGAATGGTGGTATTTATTTTTTTCACTCTTTCCGAGCATGAGATTTTATAGGCGGCAAGTCGGATGCGAAAGAAAGCTTTCTTCAGGTTTCTCCATTTCTTTCGGTGAAATCGAGCAGAGAAGTAAGTTTGGGGGCGATAAGCGGCGTCCCGGAAGCGGGCATGCAAAGAGCGTGATTTATGGACCCCTCGGCAGAAGAGTCCGATCTCGGGGGCAATTCGTAATTGGCTCGCTAATAAATCCCGCGAAAGGAGATCGGCCTCGGATCGACGCTCGCGATCGATCCGAGGGGCATTTCTCCGGGGTCGACTTTTTCCTCGGTTTTTGCGGTAACGAGGTACGAGAGCCCGGCCGGGGCGCATGTCCTGCATTTTTGTAATAACGCCGTCCGAAGAATCCAAGATGGCGCTCGCCGTGTTTTATTTACCCCGCGGCCCAGGCGGGGCGAGATGAGAGGAACACGGAATGGAATTTCGCTTTTAATGGGGAATACACCTGGGTGGACTCTCTCGAGAGCCAGATAGAGCGAGAAGGAAGCCGAGCTTCGCGAGCTCGCTCGCAAAAATGCGGACTCCACCGCAAGGTTATGTTCGGAGCGCCCGGGGACCGAGGAGGTTCCATCGATCGCCGACCTAGGGACGCTTCTTCTTCCCTTCTCGATTTATCGATCCCAGAATCCCGGAATCGATAGGTTTAATTTGAAAATATTCAAAACTCTTCTTTCTTTCCACATTTAGATACAATTCGTCTAGCTAACCTTGTGGAAATTTGCATTTTCAGGGAAGTCATTGCAAGGTTATGTTCGGAGCGCCCGGGGACCGAGGAGGTTCCATCGATCGCCGACCTAGGGACGCTTCTTCTTCCCTTCTCGATTTATCGATCCCAGAATCCCGGAATCGAAGGTTTAATTTGAAAATATTCAAATCTCTTCTTTCTTTCCACATTTAGATACAATTCGTCTAGCTAACCTTGTGGAACTTTGCATTTTCAGGGAATCCAAGGCCGTAACATAACCTCATAGACTCTAAGTCGCCCCCGGTGTTACATTCAACGATCCTCGTAAGTACAGTGCCATGAAATAGTACTATTTGTAGATTTATTATGTCGCAGGAGTAACAGAACAATAAGGAGAGACGATTAGTTCCTGCCTTTTACGGAGGACGTCCAGAAGGTGCGCAACTGGTCGAAGGGCCACCATATAAAGTTGATCTGTCACAGTAACGCGTCGGCTAATTGCGATTATAAAGGGCTCGTAAAACACCCGAGATCCCGAGGATAATAAACCCGGGAAAGACGCATTGCCTCGATCCAGGAGCGAAGAGGACTTCTCGATCGCTCGCCATCGCTCAGCCCGGACTTAGAGCAGCTGCGAATCACATCAAGATGTGCTCTCGCCGTGCCTCCCAGCATCTTCGCACCAAAGAATAAGACGTAGAAATAGTTGAACGATATTAATAAAAATAATGAAAAACGAGGCTTTTATTTCCAGTCCCTCCTAGTTCTGCATTTTTAGGAGTTCGTCAGGACCCTGACGACTCGTCTTGTCTCGTTTTCTACCCCGTTCGATCTTCATCCCTCCAGACATTCGTTTCCTCTCTTTTTCTGGGATAAAGAAAAATCGGAAAATCAAGGAAGGACCCGAAACTGTGATCTTTCCTCGATTTTGAACGGGTGTCGCTTTCCGCCTCGAACCGATGGCCTATTTGCGCCTACGCATTGTCCGGAACGTCCTGGACGCTCCTGGAGGTGCCGAGACGTTCCTCGGATGCTCCTGGACGTCCGTCGCGGAAAGAGACGCCTCTATTGACGGATTCTCTCCGCGAGCGGGGCTACCGGCTCGTAAATTTTTCCCCGAGCAAATTGGACACGGGGCCTCGTCCCCTCCGTCCTCAAGGCGAGGGTTCCCGAGGGAGGACGAGTCGGGACCACCGCCGATTTGCCCCGGATCGGTCTCGGGCCCGACGGACACTCGGACAATGTCACCGGACTGACGTTTTGACGTCTCCATTATCCCGCGCCGACTCCTGGACAGGAGAGAGGAGGAATTCCCGAGGGTCCGCGTCCTCCCGCGGGATTCCTCCTACTCTCGGAGTCCCTCCTCTCCCGCGGAAAGTGTCCGCCGTTCCCTCCCATTCGTCTTCCTCCTGTTACAATTTTTTCGACACAAAGTGGATTTACGGAAGCGTCCCCGAGGAAGCACCTGTAACCCGATAGCCAGATATTCCTGAATATTCCTCGATATTTCCGAATTTCTTGAGGAACTGCCTTCTGCCAAAAGTATCCGTCGCTCCCTCCCGTTTATTTTCCTCCTATAACAATTTTTTTAAGGACTCAAATTTACGGAACCATCCCTCAAAAATCACTTCCGACCCAATTTCCAGATATCTCCAGACATCTACAAATTTCCGGGTGCTAAAGACGATCCAGTCAAGATCCAAGATCTCGATCAGACATCACCGATCTAACGTTTCACGATCTCCATTATCCCTACCCAAGCTTTTACCCACTCGAGACAGGGAGTCCCTCGGGATTCGTCTTCCTTAAAGGCCTCGCAACGCGGTCCAGCATCCTAATCGCGCCCAAGCGCCACGCTTCCAGTATCAGGACATTCAAGAGATCATCTCGAGGATCCCTTTCAACTCCCAACAAGATCTTGTCAAAAAGCATCTCGTTAGCTTCGTTATCCAAAAAAAGAATTCTTTTCATTTACCCAAAATCATTTGATAGGCTGCACTTGGTTAATTTCAAAGAAACAAGTGACTGGAATTCTAGTCCACTCGACCAAACATTCCTTCGATCAACTAAAGCGTTTAGTTGAATCATTTCGTGGATTTTTGAAAACGTCGTTGATAATCCAAATATTTCTGTTAAATGCAAATCAAATTAACATTCGGCGTGATCTATCGCAATAGTTGATATGATCAGTGAAAAGTCATTAACCAGAGAATGCCATGTCAACGGAAGGATTTGTCCACACGACAACCATACTTAATAGTTGAAACCATGAGAAGTGATATCGACCCAACCAAATAATTTTCTGCGCGTTCCCAGATCGGGAAGATGTTCAATCCAGAACATGCAAATCCCGTTCCTCACCCCGAAGTATCAACTCACCACTTTTGTTCGAAGAGCATCAGCAGCAAAGCGATGAACAGGAGCAATCTGGGGATCCTTTTCGGGCCCTTCAGGACTCGTCGTCGGGACGGAGGCATCCTGTCATCGTCCTCTGGGTCCTGGCGTCCTCCGGGTCCAGGCAGGAGCAGCTCGAGTCCCGATCCTTCCCCAGGGAACCACGCGTTAGCACCCTCGCACGCGGTTTGTCCACTTTGAGAGCGACGCACCCCTTGGTCCAGAGATGCTGCACCCCTTGGTCCAGGGATGCTGCACCCCAAGCACCGGCACGGAAGGACCCCTCTCTTTCCCTTGGAGACGTCCTTCTCGCGCCTGGGGTATCCCTATCGTCCTGTTTCTGGTGGTCTCTCGTCCTGGGGGCACCGGAGCGGTCTCTCTGATCAGCGCGGCACGCGTCGAGGACCGGCCCCGGGCACCGGCGCTTCTTTGACGGCTGTCAGCTCTCCAAGAGGGTCCCTGCACCCATGCACCGGTGCATCCGGCCTGGAGGGCTTCCCTGGGGAGCCCGAAGACACTTAAGACCAATCGGCAGCACCCAGCTCTATTCCTCGATCGATGCTCCTCGACGATCCTCTGGTTAGGATGCTGGATTTAGACCCTCCAGAGGTCCTGCAGAGGTTGTCCAGGTTTCAGGATGTTCAATGCGGTGAATCCTGGATGGTCGAGCAGGTGATTCCAGATCAAGATCTTAAGATAAAGAATAGATCTGCGGAGAGACTCAAGACGTGGCCCCAGGATCGTCAAACGCTGATTCGTGGGTGATCCTGATCTCAAGTCAAGATGTTGGGTCCAGGATCGTCAAAACGTGCCAGGGTGTTTGCAACGTTGACACTGATATTCAGAACGCTGATTCGTGGATGGTTGAACAGCTGATTGTGGGTCAAGAAGTTGACAGCAGGATAGTCAAGGCCTAGAATTCTAAAAACACCGGCTTCAAGATATTTGATACACTGGATGGAAGATACTCAAACTACTGGCTCCAGGATATCTGATAAGGCGAAGTGATCCTTAATCCTTTTTAACTCGTCGAGTTTCCTTCGTAGCCAAATCCTGGACGACGATCTTCACCACTTCCACCTTCCTTCGGATTTGGCGCTCGAGGAACCGACACCTCCCAAGGTGGAGTCCAGCTCGTGACGAATCCGTCGTCTCATCAGGTCCTCCACTCCCTCGCCATGTTCCTCGCTCCTTCCTCTCCTCGAATCCCGCGGGTTCTAACGGGGTTTCGGCCGAGTTCCGAGATTAGATTACCGATTCCCGGAGGCAAGGCGCGCGACTCGCTAGTCGGTGACTCACTGACATCCGCGGCACTGGATGAGGCTTTCCCGAGCACTCTGGGCGCGCCCTGGTCGAGGTCGCGGGGTCCGCTCCGGAGTTCCGGAGTCCCCTCGTCGGGAGGAGGTCCCGTGGGCGATCCGAGAGAGCACTCATGATCGAAGAAGCCCAGGGCGACCGAAACGGGCCATCGGGATCCAGCCGGACACAGGAGGTAGCTCGAGGTGGCTCCAGGTGGCTCCAGATGGAGCGGCTTCCACCTCCAGGACCTCCAGGAGATTGGCAGGGGAAGGGCGAGTTTCCCACTGGAGGAGACTCCAGGAGCACTTTCGGCTTCCTAGGACTCCAAAGGATCCACCCGGGAAGGGCCAAGTTCTCGCTCGAGGTGGTTCCTAGCGAAACGTCTTCCACCTCCTGGACCTCCAAGATACTCAAAGTTCCAAGAGGTCCGCTCGGGAAGGGCCAAGTTCTCGCTCGAGGTGGCTCCGGACACCTTCCACCTCCTGGACCTCCGAGGGATCGGCAGGAAGAGCGAGGTTCCCGCCGCGCGATTTCCGGTGTGTGCGTCCGCCGCGAGGTGTCAAGCTTAAATAAAATAAAACTCGCCCTCCGGGTCCTCCTACTACGCCTCCTGACTCGACCACCTTCTCCTACTCCTCCTGCTCCTCCTCTGCCTTCCACGGCCCCGAGCGTAGAGCAAACAGCTGATCCGGCGAACCTCTGCCCGATGGACCCGATGACAGCCCCGATGACGGTCGCGACGGTCCCGAGAACGGCGAGCTGGACCCACTGTTTATGGCTCCACCGTTGATGGAAGATCTTCCTTCCTTCCCTCCTTCTCTCCAGTCCAAAATCAGACGTTAAAACAAGCGGCCATCCAGGGTTCCACCTCTGATCTCATCTTCGAAGGTATCTTGAATCATGACGAAGACCTCCAGTTCCGGGGACCAACACCGGGCGCTGATCACCCCAAATCCTCTTGGGTGGTTAATCGCACCAAGGTGCGATTGAGGGGCGGTTTCTGGATGCTAAGTACCAAGAACGAGGCAGGGGAAACACGTCCCTCTTCTGATGGTCCCAAGTTTCAGACGGCCACCAAAATGTCCCTAAGGGAGGTTTCGTCATGGACGGCTCCCCCTTATCGAGGTCTCCTTATCCTGGAGACTGATGTTGCGTAACTATGTCGAATCTTATAGATGCCTAATGTTCAGCGATGGTTTTGTCTATGGCCAGCCCATCCACTGAGTGGTTGACGATGGGGATGGAACTTCAAGTCTACCACCTCGAAGACGAGGTTCCTCAGGCTGGACGGTCACTGGTCGAGCTGGAGGGCCAAGTGGACGGGGCTTTACCTAGCACTTCCTCAGGGTGGACGTCGGTGTGCGGCGAGGGAGATGGACAGAGTCTGATTCCCGTTACGGAGCTGTCAGCCAGATCGGTCTGTCTATGATGAACTCGGTGCGCAGTGCGCGCACCCGGAATCCCTCCTCGCCTCTCATAGGGAGAGAGGAGAGACAGGGAGCGGAGGCTGCGAAGACCAACCCCACCACCGCCTTCACCACCGCCACCACCCCGATGTTCTCGGAGAGAGAAAGAACGAGAGAAAGTGAGAGAGAGGACGAGGCGGAGAAGGAGGGATCCGGACTGCAGAATCCTGCCTCGGTCCAGGTGGAAATAACTTCCCGACAGGACCTGGTCCCAGGTTGACTCGGTCCTGGGACTACGCTAGGACTCCACCAGGACCCCGATCTTGACCAACCCCTGACACCTGCTGCACCCTGACACGTCCACTGTCAGGAATAATCGCTTAACGCTGGAATGTCGCCAAAATTCTACTGACAATTAATTTAGAGCCTCAGGACAAAGGAAAGAAATAGAGATTATCTCGAAGATGATGATGACTATTCGTTTAATCATTAAGTACAGACTCGTAGTTTCATGGACCCAGTTAAACACGGCCATGTACCCCATCCTGTTTCCTGTAAATAATTTTCCTTAATACGATCTCCCTTTCATTAATTTCAATTGGTTAGTATCATGCTTAACCTTCATTTAAGGCGTTGTGAAAGGTCTTTTTTATGAAACTTTCCAAATCGGACTTACCGAATCGTTCCGAACTTTGAACTGTATTTCTGGAGGCTATAAGGGACTATTTTATATCTAATTATCGACTTTTGTGAAACTTCTTATAAACAATGAAACATCGTGGTTCCACTTGTTCACGATAATGAAACTACGTGTCTATTGTTAAGGATGAAGAGATAACCCATCATCCTCGACCGATATCAATGCAGGATTCTATCTTCGATATACTCTTTAATTTCATAATCCGGCAATTATGGGATTCATATTTCAGAGCCTTTTCGGAGTTTTTCGGAGGAAATCTCGACCGACGGTCTTTGACGTTTACGCAAATCGCGCGTCCCTCGCGACATCTTAGTGGATAAAGAGGCGGCGCTGATTAATGATCCAGCCGAAGGAAGGAGGGGCGATTCATCGATCATTTCCGCCGGGCGTATATTTAACTTCGTAGACCCTGAAGAGGCTATCTAGGATCGGAAGGACTCCTAGAGAAAACGTTTAGATCTGATTTCCGACACCTAGCCATGGTTGTCATTGGCGCGACTTCCTCGGCAAGAAGTCGAGCCGAGAGGCTGGAAGGATCGATGATCGATCGCTCGAGAGAGGGATAATTTATCGAGCTCGAGTCCTGCCGATGTGTGTTTCCACTTCTGTAAACTGCCGGCGGAGTTATTTATCGATCGTGTTCGACGCCGGAATCGGTCACGCTTGCGTGTCCGCAAATCGATCATAGATTTATATCGCCGTAGAGCGCTCGTATGACACGCATCAAAGTCCTGTAAATAACCATAAACGTTTAGAACTGCGGATTACGCTGACTTATAGTACCTATCAGCGGTTCTCTCTAACGTTATCAGCTAACTAATGAGTTAACAGAGTGATATTTTACTCCATCGAGTAAGTATATTAATTTTGAGGCCAATTAGGCTTGTTATTGAAAGGACGAGATGGGGAAATTTCCATAAGGTTTTCGGGAGAAAACACCCCTGGTTGGTCGAAGGTCCTGCGGGATGTCCTTCCAGGACCACGTGACTCGGTGGGAGGAGCAACCCCCTCCGGAGGTCAATCCACAAAATCGACGCTCGTCCTCCCCTGGAGGCTGAAGTCCCTCCCTAAGGATGTCAGGTATCCTCCTCTTCCTTGGCCATCGGATAAGGGATGCGATCTCGTCCGTCCTCCTTCTTGGTCCTTTCCTTGCCCTTCTATCTCCGCTCCAAAACTCCGGATCTACCCTCTTCAAATCCTTCAGATTTCCTCCTCAAGCAAGATCCTTCTCTGTCTCACCAGGACTCGCATTTCTTCCCTCGGAATATTTCTTTTACAACTAAATTCGAGCGCCTCCATCTTCTCTCTGTTTACCCCTGACCTACCCTAAAATCAGAGAGATCGATCGAAGAATTTTAGAATTTTTACAAATCTACCTTTTCTTAATTCTGAAAAAGAAAAAGAAGATGAAAGTAAAATCCTTCAGAATTGTCTCCTCAAGCAGGACTCTTCCCACCTCGCTTATCGAGCCGAATCTTATAATCCTTTATCTGAAATAAAGTCGAGCGCCTCCACCCGTTTTAATTCCACCCTAGTCTGACTTAACCTAAAATCAAGGGGAGTTAACCAGGAGATTATGACCTGGAAATTGTTTAATTGTTACGTAGGCACGTAGGGTAAATAAATAAAACTGTCTTCGCCGATCAGGGTAACAGAATCCTGCGGGTCTCCCTACCTT